GTAATTTGGTCCCATGTACATTTGTTACCATTAAATTTTGTAGGAGTCACGCAAAATTGAGTAGAATTTTAATCACATTTTAACATCAATTGACATTGTATATCCATTACTTGATCTCTAAGTCATTTTAATCCATATTGTAATTTACCAATTTGTTTATGTTTTTTTGTTTGTTTTTTTGGTACCAGGGATTGAACTCGGGTCCTTGTGCTTGTGAGGCAAGCAGCAGAACCACTACGCTAAATTCCCGGCCCTGTTTATGGATATTTTTATCTACAGAAGTTTGTGTGGCCCAGAGGTGGTGTGAATCTTTTTGTCAATTTTGTATAGTCAGTATTTTTGATATTTTGTTGTAACGTAACTCCTGTAACTGTGGCAGTAGCACAAATAGTAATAAGTCCTAATATTTTTTAAATTACCCATTTTATGAAACGCTTGGATTGATGTATCAAACGTTTTAATAAGTGATAGGCAAGCCCTGTCATAGGTCCCTCCTCCCACTGTCTTTTTAAATTTACAGGGACCCATACCCCCCATGTGTGATTTTAAAATCAACAATGACACATTAGAGAGATTAATGTCAAGATTAGGGTGAACACAAGTATGTAAAGTACAATTATAACAGATAACAGCTTTTAAGGTTTTATTGATTTTTAATTTTTTTGAAGCTAATACATAAGGTAATTGAACACAGGCAGCAATTGGAATGTCCTTTTTTATGAAATTGATATTGTGAGGAGCTTTATTTTTTGAAAAATTTCCAGTCCATAATTTAAGAGGCTGTGTAGCTGCAGCCAATTTCCATAGTTCCCATTGTTCTGGTCCCAAAGAAGCATTATTTAAAACAATCCTGGGTTGAGGGGGAGAAAGTCCACCATCATGTCATGTCATAAGACCTTTAGGATGATTTCTATCCAAAGAGTCTGTGGTTTGATTTCAACTAACTTGTGTAACATAATCACATGACAAAGTTTTACTATCATCACTACAATTATTTAAAAACATTCCTCTGGGACCCCAATCTATTATAGAATATTTACTTAATGAATATAATGCCATGGGGAGATCAGCATCAAGACCACCTAGGCTCACATTTATATACATTGTTTTGATAAGAAAATCCTTTACACACTGGATATGACCCTCTTTTTGAATTATAGGTATAGTTATAGGATCTGGCCAATGACATTGCTGAAAGCATTTCCATAATTGTACGGGAACCCAGAACAGGAGGGAGGATGTAAGCCCACCACTGTTCTTGAGTTTTAAAACAAGCAGGATCCTCCCCTAAACAAAGAGGCAATGATTCATAACCTAAAGAAATAAAAGGAGGGCCAGGGATTTAGCTCAGTGGTTTCGCTGCCTGCTGCACAAGCACAAGGACCTGAGTTCGAACCCCAGTACCAAAACAAAGAAATAAAAGGAGTTCCCTCTTCAGAGCAAAAGGTGGGAATCCCCATTCCCAAAGGAGGAGGTAAATAAGTAGATTCATTAGTATAAACCAAGGGGCCAACCTCATTCCATTTTACAATTTCCAATAAAGGTGGATGGGGGACATAAGCCCAATAATGATGATCATAAGCACTCAACACAGTCGAAGCACACGCCATGACAGCCATCATGGCCAAAAACAGGTTCTCAGGTGTTTGAGAAGAAGTAGTACCGGTCAATACTTGTCCAGCGCGATGGGTCAAATGTTTAATCTGGCCCCAGGTGGAAGGATCAACCTGATAGTGAGGAGCCCGGTGTTTTTGGTTTTCCTTGATCTTTAGGGCTGTCATCTCCTGAACTGGAGGTTGGGGTGTTTTTCCCCATAAGGCTGTCTTGATTCCACTGGAGCTGAGTTCTGGGAACTTGAACACCGCCGGCTTCCCTGGGCCTGACTTTCCAAAGAGGCAACCATATTTCTCGATTGGATCCATCCTCTAAAGAAACACAAGCATAACCTCGACCCTGAATTAATAACCGAGCAGGTTCCCACACATTTTTTTTTTTTAAGTTTGGACCCAAACCGGTTGGGGAGTTTCCAGAGGTAGTGTGTTTTTTTGAAAATGTAATTTGTTTTAGTTAATATTTTTCCTTGTGGTGAGTTCAAAAAATTTAAAACAAACAGAGCCATATTTAATAATTCTTGTGATTGTAACATTTTAAATAAATTTCTTTTATATTCCTTTTAATATAATGTGTATTTGTTATCAAATCCTCTACCTGTACGCCCCATACAGGCTGGCCTCTAACTCATGGCAACCCTCCTGCCTCAGCCTCCCAAGTGCTGAGATTACAGGAGTGAACTACCATGCCAGGCAACCATAAATTTTAATATGCCAATCTTTTGGCCCACAATTCATCCTTTTATTTCCTAAGCTCCATTGGAAAAACATAGTTGGGCAGGAAAAGCATCATTCTCAAAGGTTACATTCCAAATTTCTTAGTTTGATAACACTCTGCTTGGTGACTCTAAAATTATAAGCACAGATCCCAGAAGAGAACATTTCTTTTATTAGTAGTTGGCTTTGAAAATTCCATTCTAGGATACTAAATATAACAAAATACCTCCTGAATTTATAAACACATTTTCCAGATTATTTTGATACTAGTGATTGTCTATTTATTTACAAGACAGTTTTGCAACCTAAGCAACTGTAACATTTTGAGGAATCTTTCAAATTTGCTCTAGCTCTTTTAAAGAATTGATCTGAAAATTGTTCTCTGGATTCTTCTACTATGAAATAAGAAAGTTCCCACTAAAAAGACATCCTAGTTTTATTATTTCTAATGTTCTTGGATTGTAACACAAAAATACTGGCAAATCCAGAATCATGGAAGTAGGCTTTTCTCCAAACCATGCAACAGAATAAACCAGGGCTCTTAAAGTTTTTTACTATATACATTCACTAAAAGCAAATAATGCATTTCACAATTTTTTAAATGTTCCCTTATTTTAAAAACCTCATAATGTCAATTCGGAAATAATGATGGCATGAGAAGCTGACTACCTTGCTCTGGGCTAATGGACTCCGTCAGGTTCTTAACAGAATGCACAGCTGCTGTATTTGGGGGAACAACAAGCACCTAGTGGCCTCACACCCCAGGCACCCTTCCTTCCACTGTGTACACGAAACCACCCTACAAGTGGAGTTGTCACTACTTAGGCACCTTTCGCTGGACAGCTCCTCACGTCCTCCCCAACTAACACATAGATGTAAAAATATGAATCAATTGGCAACTTTACCTTTGGAGGACAGATCCAAGAAGTTGGACACAGAGGCTAAAAACTTGGTTTCACCATAAAATCCTATGATTTTTTTCTTGTTTTCCTTATCATATCTAATTATCATAAAGTTAGCTTTTCAAAAATATAGTTTAGCAGCTATCATGTAGTTTCTTCTTTTCATACTGTCTTGGCCCACTGAGAGCCATTTACATCAAGTGTGATCTCATCCTCAGACAGGGCCACAGAGCCTTCAAACTTCTGAACACTGCACGTACCAACTAAGTGGTACACCAGGTGAGTACAGAGTCCTCTGGGGCTGAACCAAGACATTCAACTGAGATTAGAGACTTCAAGTATCTTATCTCTGCAAGCAACTCCTAAACCTGTACCTCTAACCCTAACTTTTCTGCAAAATATGTTCTAAATATCAATAAGGACAGTTGTCTTCACATGATCCACTGTCAACATAGTAATCAAAAAAGTTATTTTTTAAAAATCCCATTATCTTTCACTTGAAACATTCCTCCTAGCAAAACTGCTCTGTTCCAACCTGTCACCAAATCGTGTGCTTGCTGCCTTCCTGATGAGCAAAATGTACAGGCTGTGAGTGCGTGTCGGGCCTGCTATTAAGGCAACGAGGGAGACTGGTGGGAACAGATACTCAGTCCACCGTTAGTTAATCAGGTGAGAATGTGATGCCAGATTCTCCAGTTATCCAAGACCAGCCGGAAATTCAGAGTCTCAGGAGAGGGCAGGGGATTTAGCTCAGTGGTTTCACCGCCTGCTGCGCAAGCACAAGGACCCGAGTTCAATCCCCGGTACCCCCCCCCAAAAAAAAACAGTCTCAGGAGAAACTTTCTGACGTTTAAAGTAACATGTGGGCCTAAGAAAACAGCTGCAGGTGGCAATCCCTGAGTAATTCCGGTTCAGGTCCCTCTGTTTATTCTACACATCTCTATGTGATCAGTTATCCAACCACACTGCTCCTGATCGCAACACAACTGGTAAAACACAAACACTACCACAAAAGTCGCAAACCTGCCAGGCATTGTGGCGCACGCCTGTAATCCCAACACTCAGTGGGCTGAGGCAGGAGGATCTCAGCGAGTTCGAGCCCACCCGGGCCTTATATTATATTGTCATTCAATCTCCACAGTAACACAAGCACTCTCCCCCTTCCTCAACTACCTTTACACAAACCATGCACATCAACCAGGAGTCCACTGCTCTTCCCCCTCACCCCCACCCGGCTGTGTCCCCAAGATGGCCTCCTTCTTACCTCCTCCTTTACCCCATCAGTGCCCATCTAGGCGCAGAGCAGGAGCCCACCGTTGGGAAGGATCGTCCCCCACCCCACCTGCTAACGGTCTGGTCATTGCGCAAAACCAACACGCTCCTACTCAAAGCCAATGGATCTAACTTCCAAGAAGGGGTTAAATCTCCCAAGAGACAAATTCTATAGCCTTGTCTCGATTCGTGCCCCAAAAAGAAAAATAAAACACTTTAACGGGAGCGATGAGTCCGTCTTCCTGCGGGGGAAGCTAGACGGGCCCCGAGTCTGCACACCCGAGGTCTCGTGGGGACCTTCTCCGCCCGGGGTGCGCGCCGAGCGCGACCTCCCCGCGTTCCTTCTGGACCTCAGGGCACCAACCCCCGCCGCTCAGCCGGGTCCCGCGTCTTGGCCCGCGGCCCCGAGGACCCTCTGCGCGCCCAGGCCGGTCCGCCAGGATGACGGGGCCAAGGGCGAGACTGCCCAGCCGCCAGCCGCGCCCACCCGCCGCGCTACCTTGTCCTCCGTCGGCGCGTCCGGCTCGCGGGCCGTCCTCTGCCTCAGCTCCGTCATGATGGGACACTAGCGCGCGACGTTGCCACGGGCCAGCAGCGCAGTCACCGCCGCGGACAGGTGCTCAGTGCGGGCCGCCGGGCCCAACTGGCCAGAGCTCCGCAGCGGCTCGAAGGCGGCTCTGCAGCGCAGCTGCCACCCCTTGAGCCCGGCCCCGCCTAGAGCCGAGGCCGCCTTCCACCTAGGAGGTACGAAGTCGGCCTTCCCCAGCCCCCGCGGCTCGCTCCTCCTCCAGAGAGGCGGTTTGGAACAAGTGCGCACGCGCACTGCAGCCATCTTGGCCCGGGAGACCTTCCAATGGCACGAATATGCCAGGGAGGCGTGGCGATAGGGGTGGGACGAAATAGAATGGAGAGGCATGCATTGGACAGCAGTCTGAGGGGGCGGGAAAGGAGCGCGTCTCAGAGCTAGATAAACCAGTGGGAGCTCTATTTGACAGAGGGGCAGGGTCCGAGAAGACTCCCCCGGAGGTCTAGCTCTGCCTGTACTTGCTACCCTCAGCTTCCAGGCTTCCAGACCCAGGGCTCTTCCCTCAAACACTTCAAGAGGGAAGGAGTTGTCTTGGTGGCACCGGACTACACAGTGAATTTAAGGCCATCCTGACTGAAGCTCATAGCGAGACTCTGCCTTAAAAAAAAAAAAAAAAAAAGGACATTTGTTAGACCCTCACTGAAGAGGCCAGATGTGCCCATCTGATTAAGAGGAGGGAATCATGTGCCAAAATAAAACCTAAACTTAAGTCTACCTTGCTTTGCCAAAGAGTCCCTAGTAATTACTGAGCGCTTACTGTGTGCTAGGCACAGAGCTGAGTAATCTCTTATTGGTTTATCTCATCTAATGCACATATCACTTGGAGTGCATCTGATTTTCATTTTACAATAGCACCCACGTTCTGTTAAATGGTCTGATAAATGTCTCATCTTCTGGGGGTTTTGTTTTTGTTTTGTTGCTGGGTATTCAACCCAGGGACTAACGCATGCTAAGCACAAGCTTTACCACTGAGCTGCATCCCCAGGCCTGGGATGGTTGAAGTACCTTTTTGGAGACAAGAATGCACCCTGCTTTGTTTACTGTAGATTCCCTGTGCACTAGACGCATCCTAAGTACTTGTTGGATGGGTTTTTAGGAAAATTATTTAGCCAAGATCAGCACTTAGGCCGGACATGGTGGCACGTGCCAATCCCAGCACTTGGGAGGCTGAGGCAGGTGGATTCCCAAGTTTGAGGCCAGCCTGGCCTGAATAGTGACTTCAAGACCACCCTGAACTACATAACAAGACCCGGTCTCAAAAAAAAAAAAAAAAATCAGTGGTTAGGAAATATCTAGTAAGAATTAGAGCATAGAGCCAGGTGTGGTGGCATGTACTACACCTGTAATCCCAGCACTCTGAGAGGCTGAAGCAGAAGGATCATAAATTTGAGGCCACCATGGGCAATTTAAGGAGACCTTGTGTTAAAGCTTATATCTAGATGTCCCCCCCAAAGCCTCATGCGCTCATAGGTGGAGCTTATTGGAGGTGGCTGGATCTAGAGTGTGTGAATATGGGTTAAGGGTGTGTGATAACTAAATTAGTTTACTGATTGGTTTAGCATAGTTCTAGGTGTGGATAATGGGAAGGCCCACCCTGGGTGTGGGTGACACCATCCAATTGGTTTATAATTTGAATGGAATAAGCTGGGGATTTAGCTCAGTGGTTTCACCATCTGCTTCGCAAGCACAAGGACCCGAGTTCAATCCCTGGTACCAAAAACAAAAATCACAACTGAATGGAATAAAAATGGAGAGAGGGAAGGCAAGCTCAATGCTTTCTGCCTACCCTGCCATGGACTGTTTATCCTCTGCCAAGCCCCTCTGCCATGCCACCCTGCCTTGAAACCAGCCAACTATGGGCTAAAACCTCTACAAACTGTGAGCTAAAATAAACCTCTTCTCCTTTAACTTGTGAGTGTCAGGTATTTTGCCCCAGCAATGAAAAAGTAACTAAGACACCTGTCTCAAAATTGTATAAGATATTTTAAAAAATTGTATTAGGGAGGGACTGGTAATGTAGCTCAATGGTAGAGCATCCCTGGATTTGATCCCTAGTGCCAAAATAAAATAAAATAGATCATATTTTTTGAAGCAAAACATTTATTGGTACATTTTAGATATATAGGGCCAGGATGTAGCTCAGTGGCAAGTGCAAGGTCCTGAGTTCATTCCCAGGTACCAAAAGAAAAAAAAGATTCAGTTTAGAAATACATAATGATAACACTCATCCTAGGGAATTTGCACCTGTACATGATATATTCTGCCTCTTTTTTTCCCCTTCCCCCCTCATATATGCAAAAGCTTTGTTTCCGTAAAATAGAGCATACTTGTTTTAAGAACACACTCTGTTAAACAAAACAAAAAAGAAGATGCTCTAACCACTGCTCTAAAACTGGCTGCCTTAATTCATTAACATCTGAATTGCTCCAGCGTAGCACTCAGTGCTGGCTACTTACTGCTTTTTAAGAAGGGCAAAAAAAAAAGGAGCCCTGTCCTTAACCTTAATGTAACCTAACAAGAAACACTCATACACACAGGACTTGCAATTTCCTATAAGCAATTTGACCTAGGCTGTGGGTTTTGTAGAAAGGAGTAAGCATTCTGGAAAGGACATTACATAGTCATGATTTCTGTAAGAACATATTCCCAAGTGCTTGTAACAATCATTCAAAGTGACAGTAAGATAGATTTGGAAAAGCCCTGAACTTTGTTTCCTATTTTTAAATATTTTGTAAGCACTAAAGTGGTGTTTTGTTGCTGCTGTATCTTTTGTTTAGAAACAGATAACCATGATTTAAAGAAAGATTTGCTTTCTATGTTCTATTTGTCTTGTCTATAAAAGCAAACAACATACTGCCAGACATGGTGGCACATATCTTGATCCCAACACTCAGAAGGCTGAGGCAGAAGGATCACAAGTTGGAGACCAACCTAGACTGTATAGTCAGATCCTGTCTCAAAAAAAAAAAAAGAAAAACCTGAGGGTAATTTTAAGATGTAATAAATCTGTTGGAGATGTGCTACCACCATTTTGACCAGTACAATTATTTAAATACAGGATGACAAAAAAATTGCATATTTTATTTTCATTAATTTTTATAAGACAATATAAGAGGAAATACAAAAACAGCATATACCAATGTATTCAATACAAGAATTGACTGGTTGAAATGACACCTGCCAGAGTGATGCTTGGATAGTCAGTAGGTAAACAAAGGCACTGCCCAAGTGATACCTGGGGTAAACAGTTAAGCGGTTAAAGACCAGGTATCTCGGGTAATTTAAGCAAGGTGTGCCTATCATCCAAAGGACTTAGAAGACATTGGTGCAGAGGTGGAGGCGTTACCAGACTCTCACGTTTAGGGTCTCATAGTTGAGAGAGGTCATATCCAAGTGAGCATCGAGTCTGCCTCGGGAAGCTCAGCCCTTCAGTTTCAACCCCTAGGTGAGAAGCCAGCGAACCTATGCACGTAAGTCATAGATGGCACCATGCGGGTGCTCAGATAACTCCCTACAATTTTGCTGAACAGACTGATTTTTGAGACAGGGTCTCACTATATAGTCTCGAATTCACCATCCTCCTGCCTCAGCCTCCTCAGTGCTGGGATTATAGGCTTGGGTCACCACACCTGGCTTCTGAACAAACTTCTCTTCTGTCACTCTCAGCTCTCCTGGGTTAACTGAGCTTGGACTGAGTACATTTCTGAACTCAGGGCTGTGAAAAACAAGATCTGTCTGGCTACTCAGGCATCTCTAGAAGTCATGCCTGTAGCCCTTTAGATTAGCTTTCTGGCCTCTCTCTCTCTCTCTCTCTCTCTCTCTCTCTCTCTCTCTCTCTCTCTCTCT